TGGGAGATGTTACTATACCAAGGCATCTATTTATTCTGTGGCTAGCTCTCAACCAAAGGTTAGCAACAGTGGATAGACTGGCAAAATGGAAGATTGATGTGCCGAAGGAATGTGTGTTATGCACTAGCCAGAAAGAAGAGACGCTGGATCACCTTTTCTTTGAATGTGCTTATGCTAGATCAATATGGGCTGCATTAGTAGGCTGGTTGAAAGAAAAGCACAATGTTGGAAGCTGGGAACAAGAATTAAAATGGTTGATCAAGAGGACAAACAACAGCAGACCACGAGCTCAAGTTCTCACATTTCTATTTGCAGCAACAGTTTATTACACATGGATGGAGAGGAACAAAAGAAGATTTCAGAACCAGTGTATTACATATGTAGAAAGAGTTCGAGAAATAGCCTTGCAGCTGCATATCAATGGTTAGAACATGAGCAAATGGAAGTCAATGTTAGAACAGTTAAATAGATATTCTAGCGGAAACAATGTATAAATCACGAAGAGATTAGGAAAAGTACATAACTGTAGTTATGAGAATAGAAAGACCGTAAAGGATCTAGCTCTAGAGGCCCATGGGATAGCGGATGTAAATATTTCCATTGGTTAAATATAAATTTTAATTTGACAAAAAAAAAATTACGAACATACATATATGACTTTGATAACCATTTCAAAGTTCCAATTGGATGTACACTTCTTTTCTAATATTTAAATATTTAAATTATTTTATATATGTAAAATTATATAATTATTTTCTCAAAAAAACATACTTTTATCGTTAAATATTTAAAGTGTAATCCATATTTTGATTACCTATAAGTTTAATATTTTCTGACGGTAAGAAATTATATCGTGCTATGAATAATTGTAAAAGATAAGATTTTAAACAATATGGGAGAAAAAGATAAAAAAAAATGAAAAACTATATATACAACCGACTGCAGTCTATCATTAAAGAATTAAACATATAACTCTTAACTTTAATATTTTCTGACGGTAAACATATAACCCTTAACTGACCATAGTTTGACTATCTGTAACTCTTAACTGACCATAACAATTTATACTACTATGAATAATTCTAAAAGTTTAGTTTTGTGAAAATAATAGAGAAAAATAATGGAACAAACAAGAAACATAAATATACAACTCACTGGAAACAAGGTAAGATATTCTTAATTTGGTAATCTATATTTATATAACTAAAATAATGTACAATTTTCCCAATATTCTTCTTAATTCTAACAAAATATAAAGATTTTTTCAACGTTAATTCTAACAAAATATAAAAGATGAATAAATTATTATTATAATCTTATTATTACTTTCTTTATAATAAATTCCGCTAATTAATCGCACAAGACAAAAGATAATCACTTAACTTGGTGAATTGGAGGTAAAACTTAAATAAGACGTCTGAGGTAGGTGGGCCGAAAGTTATTCTTTTATTAAGTTTGCTAAATCGATTAACTTCAACATTGTAAAAAACTTAACCTTATTTATATATTTATTTATTTTATATCTCAAAATAATATTTAATAATATTTACGTAATCTTTATGGATTGACATGATACACACGTGCAACGCACGTACATTAAAATTATTACGGTAAAATACATAATACCCACCTAACCTATGACCCAAATCCCCCTTACACACTTTCTGTGGACGATAATAATATTACACACACAACATTTCCAAAGTGTAGCCAGTACATACCACTTTTTTCTTGACCAGCTTTTCAAAATATGTGTAAGGTCATACGCCAATAAAGTCGTGACACGTGTCCTAACTCAAGAAAAAAATACTAAATATACACCAATTGATAACATTTAAAAGAAAACAAACAAAAAAGAAACAAAGCCCCCTCCCCAAGTTTCTCCTTCTTCTGACCCCCCCATACCTGTCGACCTCCTTCTCTAAACTCCAACAGCCATGGCAAATCCCCACTAGAACAAAATATTAACATGAATCAAGCACCTATTCATACTATTGGTGCACACAAACTTATCAAATTTTGAAATTTCTATTTACCAAAATCAAAATCAAAATCAAAATCTGCAACTTTAGATTCTATTTCAAGTTTAAAATGCACAAAAATGCTAGCTCTTTGTTAGAGGAAAAGAAGAAAGAAAAAGAAAAAGTAAAGTTCTTTCGTCGTTAATGGCTGGAAATAATAGTGGCGTTGTACCTGCGCCTTAAAGTTCTTTTGCTGGAGTATATTTAGCAAACAAAAGAAACAAAAATATAACATGCGTCGTAAAGTTCTTTCGTCGGAGTTTACTGTGTTATCCGATGAGATTGATTGAACAGTACCTTGAGAAAAGAAAATGGAGGCTAGAGAGACATCTTTTAGTAAAAAGAAAAAGGATAAAAAGAAAAGAATTATGTAGGCCATCATATCAACTTTATTAAATCTGAGCCGTTCGAATAAAGCTGCAGATGGGCATGTTGACAAAACATGTATCGATCTGACGCACTCACTTTTATTTGTTAAACACGCGCGCCCCATCTGACAAAAGTATTGTGTCTTAGACACACTTTAGAAAGGTTGCATGTGTAAAGTAATTTTTATTCGCAAAAAATGTGTAAGGGGGATTTGGATCATATAGGCCAGGTGGCAACTTATTATTTTGCCTTGCTATACTGAAAAATTAATGAAGGTAATTGTTTTTTTATTCATTAAAATGTTCATGAAAAGATAAAATAGGATTGACTGGTTGACCCAAAAAAATAGTTTTTTTTTTCCGGTTTGATTATTCCATATAAGAAATTCATTGATCCAATTAATTTGGTTTTGCATCAATTAGACGTACTGAAGAGGCAAAATACTCCCTAATAAAAGATTCTCCATTCACGAAACAGGAATATCGAAACTTCTAAATAAAGGTGGAGACACTCCAACCATATACGCCACATTCTTATGTGTGATAAAGGAGGAGTTGCTTAAATCAAATCGATAGAAGTTGAAAAAACAAACAAAGATTTGCAGAACTAGAATTAGCTCTAAATTAATGGACTTCTTCTTGTTACCTAAGGGATCATTTGATTCACGGACTAATTATGCAAGAAATATTTTTATGCAGTGAACAAAAATGAAAGAATTATTATATAGGGACTAATTATTTGAATTCCTTTATTTAATTAATCTTTTCTATGTATAGCTAACACATATATTCTTATTCCATATTTTATCCCTCATGAAATAATATATATATACATTTTAGGGGCGGACCTAGAGTTTAACATAGAGGTTCATGAGAACCTGTAGATTTTGGGGCATTTGCATCTATACCTGCTTTTTGGGTCACGTTTTAACTTGTGTCCGCTTTGCAAAAAAAATTGCAAGCGTACCCACTTTTTCGCGTAACTTCAGCATACGGGGCGGAAGTAGCAAAGACAATTATGCAAAACTTTAGCATTCTAGTAGACAGGGCTGAAGTAGCAAGTGTGCTAAAGTTTTTGTTTGTAATTGCTGAAGTTTTTGTTTTTGTAACTGGCGAACTTCAGCTCTAGAGCTGAAGTTTCTGTTTTTGTAACTGTCGAACTTCACCTCTAGAGCTGAAGTTTTTGTTTTGTAACTGGCGAACTTAAGCTCTAGAGCTCTAGAGCTGAAGTTTTTGTTTGTCTTCTTTTTTTTTTCAGATTCACAAAGCAGCATTCATTTTGCCATCTTTCGCCAGAAGTATGATCGACTCTTAATCAAGTGAATAATAAACACTGGTGGTGCAATCATTGGACCAAGATCGAGTCTTAATCAAGTTAATAAATAAGTGAAATGAGACGTATTGTATGAAAATTCTGCAGTAATTATCATAATTTCCAATTCACCAATTATTATAAAATTCTTTCTCTGTGGTGTTTGGTACTTCAATATAAATTTTCCTGCTGAAGTTTTGAATCGACGTTCCAACTCAATCCTCGCAAATCAGTTGCTTATTTTCTTTCAGTGCACTTAGTAAACTAATTGGGATCGGCGCTTCCATAAAAGAAAGAGGTTGAGGGCAGATATAACTTTGAGGAGGAGAAGGAGGAGGAGAAAGGGGGCTGAAGTTGTTTAAAAAGTGGGTACAAATTACAAAATTTTTAAAAAATGGATATAGGTTAAATGGGGGCGACCAAATAGGGCGCCCCGTGCAATTTTTACGTAGATTTTGCTCAAATTTTATTTATATATTAAGAAGTCCACTTAATATCTATAAATTTGTGATTGTAAACCTAGTTATTATTGTAAATTTACTTGAAAACGAAAAGCCATAAACTATATATGCTTTCAAAGGACCATGGACTGGTTGGTACATGTCATACCCCCTTTTTACCCCTCCAAGAGATAAGTATGCAAAATGTAACGTGTTATGGATTGTGGGTTAAAGAGTTTTTCCATTTGAAGTGAAAAATTTGAAATATGGATTATTTTATTTACAGAGTCGCCACTTGGAATTGATTTTTGCCGGTGTTCCAAGTCACCTTTTATTTGAATCCCTATTCAAAGGAAGGTTTGAATCTATTATTATTGGTCTGCAAAAACAAGTTCAGGTAAGGAATTTTGTTGACCGGGGAGAAGGTGTAAGGCATTCCCCGAGTCCCGTGGTTCTAGCACGGTCGCTTTATTGACTACTTTTGGCTTGAATTAATTTTGGACAAACAATGATTTATATTATTTTCATGTTTTACCTATCCGCCTTTATCTCTTGATTATTTAAAAAATTAAAGAATATTTTTGAATAAGAAGATTTCACAACCACAATATGCAAGCGAATGCGTGATCGACGAAATTTATTATTTAGTCATAACGGCGCTACGCAAGCGAATTCGCTGTCATGACAAACGATTGTTAGCACGTTATTTACTTCTGGAAAATTACTACATTCGAAGAAATTAGTTTTGAAAATTATTTTAAAAAAAATCAACTATTGCGCTATGCAAGCAAATCCGCGATCTTAACAAAAGGATTAACTAAATTAAGAATTAACTAAAATTAATGGGCATGGTATGAGATTATTGAATTAATTTATTGAATATTAAAACATCACGCTACACAAATGATTCCGTGAGTTGAAGCGCGCCTACTAATTGCCTAGCGTTTAAATTAATTAAAAGGAAACAAGATAATTAAAAATAGTAGAAATATTTGATATTATTATTATTATTATTATTATTATTATTATTATTATTATTATTATTATTATTATTATTATTATTATTATTATTCTAGCTTTATAATTGGGAAAAATTATGCAAATAAAAGTTGGACCAACTTAATCTATTTTAAAAGAAATGAGCCCAACTTAATGGGCCAGCTTGTAAAGAGCTCTTGGGCGGCTGCAATTTATTATTAAAATGGGCCAAGAAATGGATTTGAATTGGTCCAATGCTATATAGAAGAAAAGGGGTAATTTTGTTGTTTAAAGGTAAATGGACCAACT